TCTGGCCACCTCAATTCTCGAAGTGATTCCATATGCTGCATACGAAGCTGTTTCCAGTGCTGTTGGCCCATTATTGACCCAAACGTTGGAATTTCGGTATTTTCTTCGCAAATGTCGTAACGGTTCCTAATAAGTCTTTGCCATAGCTGATTAGAGTTGGCATCACCATATAATCCATTCCTGGTTGGATTTTGTTTTTCAGCCTGTAGGATGTGGTGAATCAAGCAGTTCTCCGTAGCATCGTGGAATCTAGCCATACACTTTGCATTCAGCTCCAGAGCTCGGTATTCGATCGTTGGTAGACCAGCCAGCAGTAGCATGGAATTACAACTTGTCGAGTCATTGGCTCCAAAGATTCGTTTTAGCACTATACCCTGAGTTGCGTCCAACTGCTTCCGTATCCCATCTTTGACATTGTGTTTGGCTGGTCTCATCACCGCCAGCCCGTATTCAGTAATCGGTCGAATAAAGGATTTAAAAACCTGGATATTGACCTTTGGTGGGAATCCGTGTCCGTGTAGACCAGTACCACCCATGGCGAAAGTCGCTTGCAAGGCTTTCTTCGCCATGCTAGTAACATGTAATGGTATGTCTACTCCAGCTGCTGTAAACGGCACTCCTAAATATGTGAATCTACCATCGTCCGACTTTGGTACGGTCTTGTCTCCTAGCAGCAGTATATCATCCATACCACCTCCAAGTGCAATGCATTTTGAAACTGCAAACTGATAGTCAAACTCGATGGAATGCTGGTAGCATACATCCAGTAATTTCTGCATCTCCACGGAATTTTTGGCTAATAGAGCAATATCATCGGCATACAGTAAGCTGTTTATCCTTAGGCCTCCAACATCAAAACCGTCAGTAACTTCCCTCAATTTACCAGGAAGGTCGTCAATATAGTATGAATATAGGAGCGGGGACATCACCGAGCCACCGACCATCCAACCGACCAAAATAGGTGTATACACGACGAATCCAGAGACAAATACTTATAAACAACGCCTGAAAGATGGGGTGTGTACGAGGTGTGGCATGTCAAGTCACAAAACAGAAGGCTGTACGAGTTATCCTCATTCTGTACCAGGGAAGGTCAATTGGGCGAAATCGCAAAGGTTGTTCCCACCAAGGTCTGGAAATGTAGAAGAGGAACCAGTGTCGAGGGGTGGGGAAGGTGCTCGACGAGGGGAAAAGAGCAATCAGGAAGGAAGAGTCCAATTCAACGTCAAGGAGGAAAAAGATAAAGATAAATATAGTAGTGAGAGCGACGAAGAAAATGCAACCGATTCCGAATACTCTATGGCCTCCTTGAGTTCCAAGCGAAAATCCCAACCACTTCCGCTATTCTTGGTTGAGTTTGACATTCCTCGAGAAGGAAACAAAACAATCCAAGGAAGAGCCATGTTGGACTCAGGAGCCAATCGATCGTTAGTAGGATATAAATTCCTCAAGGAGCACCACTTAAAAACCTCTCCTATGCCTCGAGCTCTCAAACTTACCCTCGGAGATGGAAAGACCAAGTTGAAATTGACGCAACAAACTACTGCGGTCGACCTTAAAGTGCTAGGGATAGCAGACAGGGTGGAATTACCTGTGTTGCATACAGATGGATATGACATAGTCTTAGGGTTGGATTTGCTGATAAGAAACAACCCAAGGATTGATTGGAGAAATCGAACTATCAATTCTCAACCTGAGAAGGAGTCAGCTAAGTTGCATCAAACCAAAATGGGGAGACTTTAAGTCTCCCACGAGGGGAGTCCAGAAATTCCTGAAAGGGAACTGGATGCCAAGACAACTCACAACACTAAAACACTAGATGTACCCTTACTTGGACAACCAACCCATGGGATGGATCAATACTGTACCTACATCACCACCCCAGACATTACGATCGAAGAGCAAGCTCTTATCCCTCCAGCTTCTTGGCCAATGTCGGAGTTCCCCAACATTTTCGATCCATTACAGCAACAACGCCTACCACCACATCGACCAGGATGGGACTTTGACGTCAAATTTAAAGATAATGCCATACTACCCAAAATCGCCAGATCTTTAGATTACCGCTCCATCAACGTAAATTAGTAGAAACGTATGTCAACGAAGATGTTAAATCAGGGAAACTTCGGGTATCGAATTCTCAAATCACCTCAAATCTCTTCTTTGTACCAAAAGCTGATTCGAACGAGATGAGACCATGTGTTGATTACCGTGGTCTGAACGAATGTACTAAGAGTGACAACTACCCGCAACCGCCTCCATCAGAATTGGTCCAACACCTGGTGGGAGGAGATGGGCATACAACAACATACGTATTAAAGAGGGGAGCAATTCGCCATCAAATGTCACCTTGATTTGCTATGGCTCACGAAAGCACTCCTAGACTATAACTGCACGCTTGCTGTGGGTGGTTGCGTTGAGACTGCTTTCTTTCTCTCTCTCTTCTCTGCTCTGACTGCTCTGCGACTATGTCAAACACACCTAAGCAGCTACTGACTTGACTGCTCTACGTGTTTTTCCCGCCATGCAATCAAGCTATTGATTGGCATCAATCACTTTTCTCACACACACACAAACATCCATCTATCCATCCATCCAGTTGTGTTTGAGTCAGAGAGCTGAGGAGGCATTATGTCATCTATCCTATATCCTATTATCACATGTATTGACAATCCCTTCTAATTAGTTTTACTCATTGTACTTTTATCAGGTATTTGTCAATACACAGACACAAACATATGTCCATAGATATCCATCCATCCAGTTGTGTTTGAGTCAGAGAGTTAAACTCATTGTACTTTTATCAAATCTGGTACAGAGTTTAATCAGACTCTGCAAGCCGCAGATGTAAGTCAACATGCGAAGTTCAACAAGATCATTTTTTTTTTTTTTTTTTTTTAAAAAATTTAGATTTTTTTTTTTTTTTTTTTTTAAAATAAAAATGCAAATTTCAAAAAAATCTTTTTTTTTTTTTTTTTTTTTTTCAATAGTGTATGTATGGAAAGGATTACTATACAAATGTAACTAATATAGTATAGTAATATGAAAAACCATAGGGCCACATACACCGGCCTATTATATCCCTTGGGATACAGACCACCTATACAACAAGATCATGTATTAATCTCGATACATCTCGATTGTAATAGCATCATATGAATCGTTCTACTTTGAACAAATGGATCAAGAAGTGGGAAGCAAGTCCTAATGTCCCTCCAAAGAAGGCGTTGCGAGACCGTCCGTCCCCAGTATTGTTGGTCAATATGGCTTTATTTGACTGGTTTGTCCTGCAACGAGAGAGGCATTTGGCAGTCAATGGCGAGTTGCTGAAGGCTCAGGCTCTTGAAATTCGTGATGGTGTAGTCGAGATTCTCTTGAACCACCATGCTGACAAGGTTGATCAAAAGCAAATCAATGATCTGACCGACTTTGTAGCTTCAAATGGATGGTTGGATACCTTTAAAAAGAACTATCAGATCAAAGGAAGAACGCCTCATGGGGAGGCCGGTGGTGTGGATTTGGATTTGGTTGTAAACGGTCGAGAAGAGTTGGAGCAGATCTTGGCTGAATTCAGATTCGAGGATATTTATAATGCAGATGAGACAGGCCTGTTCTACCGTTTGCAGCCCGACCGAACAATGGCATTGAAGGATGATGACAGTCCAGGGACAAAGAAATCAAAAGATCGAGTCACCGTCATGATCACCACCAATGCAGCCGGCACATCCTCTATTCCACCATACGTTATCGGCCAATCAATGAAACCTCGTTGCTTTGCATGTATTCGTCGAGATCTAGACTCCAATAGATTCACCACTTTAGGTGCCGATTATGATGGGCAAGCAAGATCATGGATGGATACAACTTTGATGACAAAGTAGTTGGAATGGTTTGATCAAGGGACGAGAAACAATGATAGGAATGTCATCTTACTCTTGGACAACTTCTCGGCCCAAACAGTAGCGGCCTCCAATATGAAAGATAGGATGACCAACACTAGGATTGAGTTCTTGCCAGCCAACACCACGTCTTACCTACAGGCCCAGCCCCAGGATGCTGGAATTATCTTTATTTTAAAATAAAATATAAATCTTTGCTCACCAAGATGCTGCTTACAGAAATCAAGGAGCTATCACAAACTGTTGTATGTGCCAATTTTTTTTTTTTTTTTTTTTTTTAATATTTTTTTTATGGAAAGGATTTTTATAAAAATTTAAATAATATATTATAATAATAAAAAAACAAT